GGATATATTTGCTATTCCCTTTTTTCTTTCTTTCTTTCTTTCTTTCTTTCTTCCTTCCTTCCTTTCTTTTTTCCTCTTTACTTCTTTAATTCCCTCCTAAGAATTTTTTTACTTGGTTCGTTGGTTCGATATTATTATATATATAACTGTTACTATTCGATACTTCTAATATGTTCAATAACCTGTCGATCCGAGGGCGGTTAGGTTTCGATTTGACGGTTTTCAAAAGATCAGGGACAACGCATATGCTTTATACTGCTTGTTGAAGGATTTACTGACAAATATTTTAAATCTTAACTGACAACTTGCTTTTGGATACTCAGCTTTAAGCTTACAATTGAACTAAAAGTCATGTCAACACTTATGATATGCTTTGACAATTTGGTTTGATTTGTGTGTGTGTGGGTGATGCAATATTGTTAAAATCTCGATGGGATAAGAAATAAATTGAGTTTTGGTTGTTTAAACATAATGTATGATAATAGAGTGCATGCAGTAAAACCATGAAATAAAAACAAAGTTGATACTGACAAATAGTAGCTATTTAGTGACTAATAGTTGCTAGCACTCAACCAGAACATTTATTAAACAAAAGACACAAATGATCTCTTGTGTATTTGTTTTTTGTATGATGAATGTTCTGGTTGAGTGATAGCAACTATTGAGGGGTTGCAAGCATTCCCAAGAGAGTTAAAAGACAAAAACATGGCGGCCATTGTGGTACCGTTAACAATGGATGCTAATGAGAAATCTTTCGTTAAATGGTACCAACATGGCCGCGATTACGTAACGTGCAAACGAAGAATAGAGTGCAAGCAATATAACTGTGAAACTTTAGTCATACTAAATAGCACAATTTTATGCGAATTCCATTGTTTTCAATTGTTCAATTAGTAATTAGTGTTTCACGGATTAATTGTTTGCACTCTAATAAAACAATTATTGATTTATTCCGGTTTTCGCATGATATCTTAAATTATCAAGACCGCCTCATCCTACGGCTTGCGCAAATAACACGGCCTTGGTCTTGATAATTCACGATATCATACTCAACCTCATCCAATATTGTATTAATATTTAGTTATACCCTTTGTCGTTATAATAAGGGTATACTCTTAGCTACTCCTACCTTTAAAAGTAAGAAATCTTTAGGAGATCGCGCCTTGACTTCTTGGTTGCCGATTCGACGCTCTGAAACAATTTACCCAAAGCAGTATTAGACATGCATAGATATACTTAAGTATAATAGAAATAGAAAACATTTTGTTCCAAGTAAAGCTTTCTGAAGCAGTGAGCAATTAATTAGCGATGAGGTATCTATTTATTATATTTTAATTGATTATTAGAAAGTTTGTTTATACATATGTGTGTGTGTGTGTGTGTGTGCATACATGTATATTATTCTTTATCTAGATCTTATAGTAATTATCATCACCATATCACCCTAATCATTATCGTCATCACCGTCATCATCATCATCATATCATTATCATCCTAATATCATTATTATCATCATCATCATCATTTTCTCACTGGACTCTGAAGATGACTTCCGCTCAGGYTGTCGAAAYGTCAGTCACCACCAACAACAGTCTTTCTCAAGACTRCACTCACCCGGACGATCACATTTCACACCAAAAATCATTATCATCCAGCCCTCCTCATCATCATCATCCTACTCACCATCATCATCATCATCCTCATTATTATTATTATTATTGTTATTATTATTATTGTCTATATAGTTTGTTTGAAATATTCTTAATAATAGTTCGTCTGAATATTCGTCTTAATATTATTATTATCGTTATTATTATCATTATTATTATTATTATTATTATTGATATAATAATAATAGAGATAATCTATACGTCGTATATATCTATATAGATACAAAATACAATTGTTTTTTTTTTCTTAGTGAGAAATGTAATTAATGTATTTTATTATTATTATTATTAAAAAATATTATTATTATTATTATCATTATTATTGCTTTAGTAGGATAGTAAAAAGGAGATTAAATAAGGTTTTCCCTCTGCCTCCCCTGTGTCAGCCACACAGCGCTATACAGTAAATAAAATGTCTAAAATAGCCCGTTAAGATTTAGCAAAATGAATGAAAAATCATGTTTAAATGGAGTGAATAGACAAACAAAAAACGATTTTAACATTAACTTGGAATTTATTCAATAACATTTACTTTAAATGTTCTGTCTAAAAGCAAATTAACAACAAGGAGTCAGAGAGACGGACAACGCTCTCAAAGGCTCAAGATAAAACCCTAATGACTTTGATTTCAAATTAAATTTCAGTCAGTGACTAAGTGTTTTACTCAACAAAGCTTCAAAAGCTTTTTCGTCCATGAATAAAGAATATTGAGACTAAGAACTAAGGTTTGTAACCTTAGAAGTTATTCTTATTTGTAACCAAGGCATTTTCCTCGGGGCTACGTCTGATACATGAGATCCCCTAGTCACGCGATCGCGATAAAATTATTTATTGTACTTCGCCTAAATTTAAAGGGAGCTTTCAAATCTGTAGTTAATAATACCATTTCGCGTTTGCCTTTCGGCTAAGCCTTCTTGTTTTTATTAAGACCCATTGTATTACAAGGAATGTACGCACTACGGAACAATACAAGTTGATTCAAATTGAACGGGTTTTTGTTGAACACAACCGAGGCAGAACAAAGGGCCTCGCTTAACTTTCTTTCAAGTAGGGTAATTTAAATTTATGCCTATGAGACAAATTAATCATATGCGTGGGTAAAAGCAAACGCAATTCTCCAAAAAGTCCATTATTACTTTTTCAATAAAAAAGGTGGTATTCATTTAAATTATTTTCCCTGAAAATTGTTGAAAGAAGCTTGTCCAATTTTGATTTATTTTCAGGAATATCCTAAATTTGTCTAAAAATGTATGTTTTGTAATATTTTATCTCATCTATATAGCTGGCTGATTGGTATTGTAGTGAGGTGTAAGTAAACAAGTGCCTGAATGAAACGAATGTTGGATGGATGGGTGAAAAAATGGAAGGATCGATGCACGTGGACGCATGGTAAACGCGGAAATATGTCTATTTTTTATATTCATTATACTATTTTCATTATATTTTATGTTATAGCTAGCATATATCTTTGCAATTTTAGCATAAAAACATATTTTAAAAAGTTAAGCTTTTAATCACGTTGAAAAACACGAAATTTACTATAAGAAAGACACGGATACTGATGAAGTGAATTAATAAACTATCTACAGAGTTGAATTTATAGAACTTAACATGCAACTGCTTTCTCAAATCTTTGGCAAACCCTCTTGTTGGATACTGGAGTCCAAATCCTGAATTTAGATTTTCGCATCGGATTCCATATTCGAGGCCAAGGCTCTATATCACTTTGCATTTAAAGTTGCATTGCCTGAATGCCAGTCAAAAAGCTAATTAATTAGCAAAAATGACAGGTCCGAGACGCTGTGGAGGTTTCATGTGTTTTCTGATGTCCCTCCACCGTCTAGTTCGCTCAATAAAATGCAATAACCTCACAGGACAAATTTTGGGCGTCAAAGAACTGAACAGCCGCACAAAAGTTCGTCTCATTTCGGTATTAAGGAACGCGTAGATACATGTATTCATAGCGCTGTTTCCATAGTGCATGAACTTGACAAAAGCCGTTAGCTTCCAGTCGAATCCAGGTATCGGCATGAGACAAAGATGGCAGAAGGTACCAACGAGAGAGACTGTGAAAAATGGGATCCAGGTTATGAAAAAGAGACCTGTTACGAGAGCACCTGTTCTGGCAAGCTGGTGCTCTTTGCGAAGATGTCTTTTAAGGTCTTCTTTACTTGTTCTTCTCTCCAGAGGAGCGATAATTTTTGTACTGATTCGAAAGATTTTGATATACATGGTGGATATGATTACAAGAGGAATGAAGAATCCAAGGGAGAAGACGAGTATTGTGTAGATTGCTATCCAGTTAAAGGTTTTTTGGAGCGGATATAAACCTGCAATAAATGCAGCAAAAATCCATACCGCGGCAAGAGTGTTTCTGTACGGCTGTTGTGAAGTCAGTTTGTGTTTTGCTGGCTTCGAAACAGCCAAGTATCTCTCAATGCTGACGCTTGCAAGATGAAGTATAGACGCCATTGCGCTGAAGATATCGAAAACTATGTAAAATACGTAAACTCCTTGTGGCATCCTGGCACTCGTCGCCATCATGTATATCCATAATGGCATAGACACTGCTCCCACTAGAAAGTCAGATACGGCCAAACTCACAAAAATACTATATGTACTTCGTCTGAGCCTTGGATTTGAATAAGCCGCAAGTATAACCAGCAAGTTATTGAAGATGACCACTCCAACCAGGAAGACAGAGAAGACAAGAAATACATTCAACTCGGTTCGAGTGAGGCCTTGTTTGAGTGCTAAGACGCTGCTCGATACATTTGTGCTGTTGTTTGACATGTTGGACACCCTTGGTCATGAGTTACTTAAAATTCCTGCAATACTGGAATACTTGAATTCCTGAAAGAGGAATAGATAAAAACGATTAGTGATAAGTATCCTTTGAAGGAACGAGCATTTGAACCAGCAATGGCGTCTATACTTCATCTTGCAAGCGTCAGCATCGAGAGATACTTGGTTGTTTCGAAGCCAGCAAAACACAAACTGACTTCACAACAGCCGTTCGGAAAACTAACTGAAGACCTTATAAAACTGAAGAAGTACTAAAGCGAAAAATTTACAGACAGATGAATGTCGGGTGAAAGAAAATACATCTCAAAATACAAATGCCAGTAATTATTTTTGCATCGATCATGCAAGCAGAACTTGCTTTTTATCTCCGGAAGCAAAAGCTCATTGTCTAATGCATCTGACGCAAGATGGAATTGGAATAGCCCACTTCCGAAATATGCTTCGATGTCACGCACAAAGGTTTCAATGCAAGGCTTCGTGCATAATGCTCGGTGATTCGTGAAAGGAGAAAAGAAAAAACTTAATTTCGCACGAAGTGAAGCAGCAAAGGATACCTCGGAAGTTCATTATTCAGAAGTTGATTTTGATGAAACAGGAAAACCCATTAAATACCTTCGAAGCACAGGAGAGCACCGAAAACAACCCTACTCACAGATGATGGCATGCAAGTACACAACTAGTACTACTACCTTCAAAAAATCATTAGCCGTCTTGTTAATAAAGAGCTTTTTTTATAAAAGATAAGAAAAATGACTATGAAAAATATGTTCTACGGGTGTTTTATTTATGAGAATAATTGAATAAGGATGTCTTTCTGATCATCGATCGAAGTCTGCTCACTAAGTAATAAGGAAAAAGCGAAAGAAAAAATATAACTAGCAGTTTCTACTAGCGAGAAACACGCGAAACGATGTCATTAGTGGCTGCGCGTAAACTCAATAGAACATCATTATGGTATGACGGAATTCTAATGCAGGAGACATATTTGTGCTACTTTACAGAACTGCACTGATAAAAATAAGACTTTTTCTTGTACTTGTACATACCACTTAACAGTGAATAATATCATCTGCAAGTGAACTTACAACTTGCAGTAAAAATGTTTCAAAGTAGTAGTGTTCTCATCATGTTGACTCATATGAAGCAAAATATTTTTGTTTACTCCATGAATGATAAATATTGTAGTAATCACTTATGAAAACAAGATCAAAGAGTTCCTGATAAAAACCAAAACAAACAAAAATCAAAATAAAACCGATTTTAGGTAAGCAATAATTATTAGTCATATATGAATGTATTGATTACTTAGCTAAGCACTGTGCACTAGATATCTTTATCGAAGGGTAACAATTTGAAAATGGCTATCATGAACATAAAACAACTTATGAGGATAAACAACTTATGATCGATTTCTTTGAACATGTACAATCAGAAAATGCATGGTCTAGATGGATCTGCTGAGATCTGCTGAGATACCGACGGTGAGAACGATGTTCAATATTATATTGGGGTGGGAGAGGGGTGGAAGTGTCTGAGAGGTGAAGAAAGAATGAGCGCATGAGCTCGCTCGTTGAGCTCTTCCTCTTGGGCGGGTGAGGATAATATGTCTTCAACATTTGAGGCTACTATCCTGCTCAGTAGGATAATCATTATCATAATAATGATAACTTAGCACAGTCATAACCATACTCATACTGGCTTGTATCTGTCTAAATTACATGGCTTTACCATGACGAGTAGTTAAAGGCAAGCTAGACTGAGTATAGAGTATACTCTAGTAACTATCTTTCCTGTATGATGAAACAACTGCAAAACATGTCTGAAAGAGACAATTAGGTGGTTAGTTTCATAAAAATATTAGTTTACGACCGAACCAGAGGCATAAATACCATCGACTGTTTCTCGTTTTCTCACTGGACTCTGAAGATGACTTCCGCTCAGGTTGTCGAAACGGCCAGTCACCACCAGCAACAGTCTTTCACAATACTACACTCTACCGGACGATCACATTTCACAACACAAACTTCAACACTTGGGTTCAAACCATTTACTCTTATATTATATACACTCGATTGCAGAAACGTTGTAGTATACATTTATACATTTATACAAATACCTAATGAGATGCATATTGCAATTTTACTTTTTTAACCCTCAAAACCAATTGATTTATAATCTGTAGGATGTAAAACACGAGAATAAAATATTTTGACGTTCATTGAATGAAACAAATAATAAATAAAGCGAGTTTTCTGTTTTGCATATCATTAAATATACTGAATAAATTGGGTATTTGTATAAATGTATACTACCACCTTTCTGCAATCAAGTGTATATCATATGCAATATTCTAATTTTCATCCGTTTCCTTGAGAATAACACTAAACTACGTCAAAACGTCGTGCTCGTTTGTTTCTTAAACTTTTACTAAATTACTCTATTCAAGTGTTTATCAAAATCTCTTTTTTAGTATTAGTTTTCTCATGATAATATAGCTTTTGGTGTTGACCATCACTGACGATTCTTTTATTTAAAAAAACAATCTTGTTAATCAATACATTATACATATCTACTACTGGAGTCGAAAGGGACTATCTAAAACAAGTATAAGAGGAAGTAGAAAATCGAGAAAGAAGCCCTGTATATTTTACATAATCGTCAAGCAACTTCGTATATCTAACCATATCCAACTGAATCTTCATTCGTATTTTTTGGCTAAAGTAAATGTCAGCCCTCAATTTGCGAACAAAATAAGGGTCGTGTAATTTGGCCTTACCTTCTTTTACAGTATTTCTTTTTGTCTTTACCTAAAAATATTTGTAAAGAGCATCAACTCCTTTCCTAACTAGAGATTTTAGATCTTTTTGTGTTGCTGATGATCAAGATACCAGTGAACATCCAGTGATCGAAATCTTCGGCGATGTATAACGTTGGTATATAGCCAGCTAATACATACTAATGCCTTGGAAACTTGGCTTTTTAGCGTCTTTGAATGTTTTAATTTGATTTCTATAATTAGACCAAATGCTAAGTAATTTATAAAGTAAAACTTCGCTTAACGAGATTGATGACATCGTCATTGCTTAGACACTCGTGAATGCCCCGAGAGCATAGATTATACAAACTAAACGATTTGAGGAAAATGTGCTTAATTAGAGCGACGATCCCCGATGATGTCATGCATTTAAAACTGAAGGAATAACTTAAAAGCCACAAATAATATATAATATTCGCCAAGGATAACCTGGAGAATATTTTACATAAACTTTACATTTTCATGCTAAGACCCTAAGAAACTATCCACATAGAAACATTCCCCTCGGTTGCCCAAAAATAGCAGTTTTGATGTTATTCTAGACGATCATAATAATAGAAGGTTTTGGAAACACTAGGGACATTGTCTTCATCGATCCAATATGGCGGAAGTTTTTTTTGTTTTTGTTTTTTTCGTTATTGTGCTTTGGCTTTCGTGGCGTGTCTTCAAGTTTGATTATAATTTCAAGAGCCAAGTTACCCCCAAGAGTATCCACTCTTGCTTTTAATTAATCAGAAAACATGTTTTTTACTTTATCGACACTGTAGAAAATTGAACTTCTAGTGATAGAACGTTCTTGTCCTCAAATTCAGTCTATTTCAGTTCCACTCAGTATTTCGACATTTAGTAACTCGAACAAGCTTATTTTGAAAATTAGCGCACACAACAAGTGTGTCACGGTTTGATTTGCGCATGCTCAGTGATTGCCAATACAAACGTTTCAATGAAAGGAAAAATGTTTGAATCATACACCCACAAGGTTTTGGCTTATTTCTAATTATGAAACGGGAAGTTGTTTTCACAATTTTATTTGTACATTGCCAAAACAAATACCGCTTTATTTTCTCAACGGGACTTTTTCTTTTCAATGAACGGAGAAATGTTTGAAAAAACCCAAAATATTGAGGCTTAATTCTAAGAATGTTTTCAAAGAATTTTTTCTAGTTACTCGATGAGGGGTCTAGAAACCAAAGCTTTTAAGTATGCCGGCCGTAAATCGACTTCCGGGTCCAAGAAAAAGCAGTTCTAAAAAATTCTATTTTCTTACTTTATTTTCATAACAGGATTCGTTGTCCAAAGTTCTGATTGTTTCTGGTGGGGAATAAATCATTGAGAACATTTCCCGCTTTATTTTAGGGGTTTTTTGTGAACAGTTTGGCTCTATGTTGTGATTGGACACAATATTGAACCGCTTTCCTCATCAAGAATTCTCTCCCTTTTCAAGTGAGACTCACATAATTTATGCCTATTGGCTATGCTACACTGAGCAACAAGTTTATAAGTGTTATAAACAATAATATGGGCCTTCCTGGCTTTGACACAAATAAAGCTGTCAACTGAGCACGAACGTCGCAAATGAGGAGTTCAGCTAATAACAGCCGAGTTTAAAAGTATTATTAAACCATCCCTAAAGCTGGATTCCAATAACTGATTTTGCCATAACTGTTATTAAGTCGTTGCATGGTGGAAAGGCGGTAAACGGGCATTGGATGTAACTCTTTGAATTATTAAATATTTCATAGTCGATGAGCGAGATATTACATTCAGTAGTCAAAAATAGACCGTGGAAATTGTATGGTTGGATTGGCAAAAATTTCAATTAACTAAAAGTGTGGTAGAAGATAAGTTATTACACCACTCTTGTAATAGCTGACAAGTGCACGAAAACGATGAGGGGCAACCGGTCATTGGTTCACAATAAAAGATATAAAACCACATGAAACTCGTTTATAGAAGAAAAGTATAGAAATTGACCTTTCTTTTTGACCCCAATTCGCGCTATCCTTTTTTTTTTTTTTTTTTTTTTTTTTTTTTTTTTAATGAGCACTTAGCCTTGCAAGATGACTGGGTGGCCTCAGCGTCGACAGCCATTATAAGAACGGCAAATGGGGAAGAGAAGAGGGAAGGCCGATCTATTAGAGTTACTTTCATAAAAATAAGAAAATAAAAACCAGGGGAAAAACACGAAAAGAATAAGATGATTGGCCTTTACAGTAAGGACATTCGAACCGTGTGTGAGTTTTTTAAATTATTTTCTGAACTTTTTACTGTTTCAAATCCTCTAAAATGAATAATTTAGTTCGATGTGGTCAAAATAAAACTCATAATTTCCAATCGATTTTATTTGATAACATTTTAAAAAAAAGTGAAAAAGTGGCAGAAAACTGAGTGTTCACGGTTCGAGTGTCCTCACTGTATAATAGATAATTATCAATAACCGAATACTAACATTCGCGCAATATTCAGCGAAAATACTGAATAACTTGTCACTTGAAAATGAAGGCACTTTAAAGCCAAGCAGAACGGACGTCAAACAGCCGACAATACCTCTTGAATCTAAAGCGTTATCTCAACAAAAAACGAACAAAGTCTAACAAGAAATATTTTTCAACAGTTGAATTTTTAAAAACTTTCTTTCTTGAGAATTAAAATCAAATTATTTGGGGTTTTTTGTGGCTTGAGTCCCTAAGGCGATACTGCCCTAATCTGAATTGTGGCGCCTAAGATATGAATTATTTTTTCCACGATTTGATTTTACTAGACAATGATTGAAAATAAAGCTCAAGAGACTTGTTATTCTTATAAAGCTAAGTATATGGCTTGGTTTTGGACTTGACATTCAATACTCAGTGATCAAAAACTGGCTCTTCGTCTATCGATCGCCCATACACCACCTTTGAAAACCTAATAACCTAATAAATAGCGTATTTATGCATATCAAATCGGTATATTGAATCAGAGATCAAAATTAAGATTGGTGCTAATCGCCTTAATACTATTTTTCGGCGTTAAAAGCACCAAGCAACTTGATGTATGTTTTACATGATATACTGCGCGATATTCGATGAAACTATGAAGTTATGGTTAATTCTAAGTTAAATTCCATACCAGTGGTTGCGAAGTTGTTGAAGAATGGTTGCAGTCTTTTGCGTAATCTTTGGCAAAAACACATTAAAGAGTGGTTTTTCACGATAAATAAATCTCGTACCTTTTCCGATGTTAAATGAATAAAATGTTATAGCATAACCAGATGCAGCAAGAAGCGATAAGTATTATTTGTATTCCAATAAAGGTGGATTCTGCTGTTAGTGTTGTCATCGGTTGATGCGCATAGAAAATTATTGTGGGAGAGAGTGGGGGGAAATGGGGATCTTTGATCTAACCCAAGAACTTCTAAAGTTAAATCTACATAATTGAGATGAAAGGTATACGAAATCTTTCAAATATGTAAACAAAAACCATGGTTGTGTCTCAATTAAGAGCATAAGTTAGGGGAAGCAAGATTCGTATCTTAATTTTGTTTTTGATTTTTAAGATAATTTTTCAGAACAATGGAAACGTGCTGCTGCTCGAACTGATCGGTCTCTACCGCACGCTCTTCAAGTTGAAATGTGGATAAAATGCCCAAAATACTTAACATGCAAAAGCCTGTAAACTAAAATACACAATATCAATCACCTTTAATTATTTACCTCGGTTATTTTTCTTGAACAACCATGTCGAAGGTCTTTCGTACTCATCGAATATGCTGGAATCTCTTCTGTACTGAGTATTGCCTTACCGACAAATTGCATATTTATAGACTGACAATGTGAGAGTCTGTTCGGATAGAGCTAAAATGATACAATATTGTATATTGTTAGCAGCATTATTCCGCGAATGATGCCCTTTTATTTCACTGTAGACACATTTCGAGCTAATATTCGACTTTAGAATCGGATTTACATTCTGAGAGGATGTGAGAATAAAATGCGGATATATCTTGCACAGTACACCTGATAAATGACTTACTCGCCTACATTCCTGACTGGCATTTCTAAAGCTATTAACAATAAAACTTCACCAAGTTTTGCTGCCCACGGACCGATAAATAGCACAAAGACCCCATCAATAGGATTTAGTTGTCAGAAACTAATGACGATTGATTGAAAAAGAAGACGATAGCTGAGCGTGAGTGGCTACACAGTTAAGTTGAAGGGTTTTTATGCTGTATTGATTCTTTTCGGCGCTATGGCATGTTTACCATTTTAAGACGCTGGTTAAGTCGGACGAATTTTTTTATCCCCTCAAAAGAATTTAACAGAGGCAACCCACTCTGTTCATCTACTTTTTTCTTTTCTTTTTTTTTTTTTT